AATTGTAGTTAGTTTATTTTAAAATTATTAACAAGGTTTAGACTAGTTACGTGTCGATTGTAACGGTATCGTGATCAGTACTGACATCGACTTGGAAAGGTGAATACTTCATTCTACATTCATAGTTAGTTAAAATACGAACCTAAGTGGGACAATATGAAAGATAAATAAACTGTGGTTGAGAACAAAGCATCTTCTTTGCAATCAATTGTTTGTATAGGTTTTGCGCACAGTAATGTTACTTGACTTTTCAATAATTAAAACTAAATAGTTCTACAAAACCCCATATATTTCTTAAAATATAGAAAAATTATAATGAAAATAAAAGAAAGATTGTTTTTCAAGAAAAATAAAGCAATTATATTTTGAAATTATATTTAAATTGACTGTATATGAGAATGCATATTTAATTGAACGTTGACCGTGGAAGAAATAAAATCCCGTTCATCTAAAGTTATTTTTATTCCTCCAACCAATGACAGCTCAAAAAAGGCAAAACCTGCACCAAAAATTGCCAAACTTTGACGAAAGATATTGTGTGAGAACTTGTCACTATTTCTCACTTTTTAGTTATTATATAACTTTATTTTAACTTTATTGTATTATGTATTTATCATAGGCCAACAGCTGAAACCACATATCTTATTTTTTTCTTTTATTACATTTTAGATTTTGTTGTGTTTTGATTTGTTGTATTTTGCATTTAGGATCATGACTTGACTGCTATACAGTGGATAGCCTATACTTGAATGTTCTCTGAAGTGTATTCCAACTTAGGTTGGAGTTTGTGTATTGTTAGTTGTACAATATGTTAAGTTACAATGTTACAATGTGTTAAGTTTTTTCTCATTTGTGTACGAGATGAGTTTTTAGATGCTGAAACGTTGGGTAGAGTGTTTTACATGTGTGATGAAAAGTGTCTGTAATAACCCTTTAAGCAACATTAGCCTACCATCATGGTTGTATTTACATAAACATGGCATAATATTTAAAACTAATGTGATAGCTATGCCTAATCACTTTACTATTGCAATATGAGTTGGTAAAAGTATAATCCAATATACGCCCAAACAAGCTAATTAAACACGAAGAAAAGAGTGGAGATCTAGCTTTTCATATTTAAGTTATATTGATCTTTGTTTTCCTAAGACAAACCGTAAAACCCATTAAATATAAATGAATACTATTTTCTGTAAAAGACGAAAATTGTAAAAAGGAGTTAACAAAATTACATACAAATGCTTCGACTATAGTGCAAAGGAGTTGGTATACATTTACATTTGTTTATTGTTTTTTTTTTCAACTAAGTTTAGGAGAAAAATAAATAACACATGTGTGACCAACTTTGCAATACTGGTTTGATTAACAAACGTTAAAATTGCACTCCCAAACAATTTACCCGTATTTATTTGTTTTTTAGAATTTTCTATTGTTTCTACGTTGATAAAACTATAGGTATGACATTAATAAATCCATGTATTATAACTAGAGATAATTTTATAATGTTACCTAAAATAACCAAACAAAATTATATTTTATATTACATTGTCCATAAGTGAGATTTAATTTTGTAACGTTTTCGTTATGACGTATAATAAAACATAACTAAAATATTGGTGATATCTTTGTCTGAAATTAATTCAATTAAATGTTTTGTCAAAACAGCTAACTATTTTTTCAAGAAATCTAACAAAAAATAATCATTCAATAACACCTTTTTGAAGACAAGCAAAACTCAACAGGGACAATAGTTTCGTTTTATCAAATATTATCTCCGTGGTGAAATTATTCAGTTACGTAACCTACTTTTTAACTGATTAACTATCAACCAACAAAGCCCGTATATTATTCTGAATGTGCGTTGCCTAGACAATTGATGTTCCTCAAGTGAGAAAATGTCAGATAATAGTTCTGTAAAAATATTAGTTTTATAGTATTATGTAACGTTATCAGCTAAATTATACGACTTTTAATTTTAGTGAAATTTTTGAGTACAGTCTAAGCCAAAACTAGAATCAATATATTTTTGTACTCATACCTATACAAAATAGATGTGTATTATCAAACCTAGTTATCTTTAAAAAAAAAAGAAAAATGTACGACAACAATTTAAATTAAACCATAAAAACTTGAAGTTTTTAACGTAATTTATCTTATTTACTAACTTTATGTATAGGCACAAATCCAAATTCTTAAATTTCTTGAACAAGAGTGACAGTTTAATTAGTGGAAAATGGATAAATTTATACTCATTACGGGTCATGTAGGCATTAAATGATAATTATTTTTTTGAAGAAAAAGTGATATAATAACGATAATGTTTGTATTTCACACCTTAATTACTCTCCCAAGGAATCTACAATTTAATCGTGGAATTAGTAAATTTGTTGGGCAGTAAAATCGATTCTTGGTGACCTGCCAAATCGTAATGATTAATCCTGTTATTGCTTTCTCATTAGTTGCATGGATTGAAAAAAAAAACTATAGAATAATTTGTTTAATACTTTTTATTTAAATTAAGCTAAAAATTAATTTTACGTGTCATGGTTTGAATATTAAACAGCATTTAATTAGTGAAACACTTTCGCTTGGAGCACTGTTGTTGGGGAGCGGCTGTAGCTGACAGTGAGCTAAGGCAGTGAGTGATGGTGTGTAGTGAGGGTTGGCTTGGAGACCTCCCTCGATGCATAGGCAGGTTCCAGACAACAAAGGATGACCCTGAACCTTCGCGAAGGCGGAAGAATGGGGTGGGGGCATAGTGGTGAGGCGTTGGGCGGTGGGGGTGTCGAGGTGTGAGTGTGGGGGGGTTGGTGTTGGGGCGGGTGGGGGTAGCGTGAGTAAGCGGGAGGATCGTGAGTGAGCGGGAGGAGCAAGGGTTGGCTTGGAGACCTCCCACATAACTCGTGGTTTACATTTAACACTCTATTATATGTTGTAACCTTAGCAGAATATGTTAACGTAATAATGTTTCAGTCTGTTCTATTCTTAGTTTAAAACGAAACTATCTAAATGTGAGTAGCATCTTCTCTCTTCATAGTCCGCAAAGTAAAATAAACTAAACTATTGGACTTGAAAAACATACACTTTTCTTACAATTTTGTGTCATATGTATGCTATTTTCATAGTTTCATAGTTTTCATAGTTAGTCTATTACATCACTATTCCTACCACTTTTTCAGTTGGGTTGGTCGTTCAAACAGTCTGGTAGGTAAAACGGTTAAAATATTTGAAATATGTGAAATACTGCTCTCTGATTGGTCAAAATAAGCTAACATCCTATTGGTGGTAAATAAGTGTGCGCTATATGGAGAACAAAGAATACAAGGGAGGAGTGGGGGCCGCTTGGAGCGCAGGTGTTGGGGAGCAGCTGCGGCTGACAGTGAGTGATGGTGTAGGGAGGGTAGGCTTGGAGACCTCCCACGATGCGTAGGGTGGTTCCAGACAACAAAGGATGACCTTGAACCTGCCCGAGGGTGGTAGGGGTTAGCGACGGGGGTGGCGCCGGGGGTGGGGTGGCGTCGGGGGTGGCGTCGGGGTGGGGGTGGCGTCGGGGTGGGGGCGGGGGCGGGGGCGGCGTCGTGTGACGTCACACGCTCACACGCTCACTCACGCTCACTGCCGCCGGAGCCGCTAAATCCCTCTACTATTTTCTCTTTATTTTGACAAAAGGAATCACTAGATAAAATATGTCCCCACCTTTTTTGAACACCCTGTATATGGGGTTGGACAGTAGTACATGCTGAGAGAAGACATTTTCAAAACAGTGGCTACAAAATTATTCTACATGTTTCTCGTGGAAAAAATGCCCCTATAATGTGCCTTTATTGCCACTACTCCTATTCTATTGCAAAACCCATGAATACTGTTTTATATGCGTTTTATATACTGCTACGTCCGAGTGCAAAACTGCCTTAAGGTTTATTCCACATCTTAGGGATATTTTCACACCATGCACCTTAATCTGTGCGGTTTATTCAAAATACCAGAAACATACCGGGCTAAAATTGAACTTAAAATTGTCTAAAAGATTATTAAAATGACACATCTTTAAGAGATTGTCTTAAATTTACGGATTTATCTGATTTTCATCATGGAAAAGCTCTTTATAATATTTGTCATTAGAATTATATAGGGTGTCCCACGAAGAGGTTTAAAATTTTGATTTTATATTTCTTGCCCATTTATAGACCAAACATTTGGAAACTTTACTCAATTTATAAAGTAGGGTTTAAAAATATTCTTAGAGAATTTCAGTTCCCTTACACTTGTGGAATCAAAATGGAGGTATATTAAATGTTCTTGTTAACTAAATATATAAAATTAATGAGTTAATTGTTATTTATTAACTAGTGATGGTACACAGTTTAAATAATTTTTGAATCTACTTTTAGGGTTTTTATTAGGCTATGTTCTAATTTCCTGATGAAAAAACATCATTTTCCAATAATGTAATAACACAAATATTTTAAGAAAACCAAAAATACTATTTTTAATATTTTTAAAGTGTAATTTTTCAATGTGCCACTATTTTGTTTTTACGTGAGGTAAAGAGCTGCATTTTTTCCGGAATATTTTTAAAACGTACTTTATAAGTTGAGTAAAGTTTCAAAATGTTCGGAGCATAAACGGGCAAGTAATATAAAATCAAACGTTTAAACCTCTTCGTGGGACATATTATATAAATTATCCTCAGACATAGAATAATCATTACTCAGCAACAAACCCATTTGTACCAAAGGATGGATATAAGCAACCTGACATCCCTTCAAGTGTTCCTCAAGCTCAGAGACATTATCACTTTTCAGTTCAGCAGATCCATTGAAGGTAATGTGTGTGAGTGTGTCAACTTAGTAGATATCATATTCCTCAGACGGCCTTGGGTACGCTTGTCTGGGTTAGTCGCTAGATGTACATATCTCGGTTTGGAGGGGAGTTAATGTTAGCGCCGCCGACACTGGTTGACCTTGGATACGCGCTTTTAAATTAGGCGCTCACCGTGACCGAGTGCACTATTGGGGTCACTAAACCAGTGTATTTCGTTGCATAATGTAGGTGACCGACTGCACTCAAAGTCAGGGTAAACTGCTCAGTGCGGACTTGGTATAAAAGCAAGCAGAGGATGGATATGCAGTCAAAATGCCTCGGTTTGTGGTGTTGTTCAAGTGTGATAACGAGTCTGACGCGAATGCAGCGCTGAAGGCCCTACAATCCCGGTACGAGGTACGGCCATCGAGTTCATATGATATCACTGAGGTGGGGACCAATTACACTCCAGGTTAGTAAATAAGTAAAATAATAAGAGTAGATTATTTATAGCTATCTGAACATTAGGTGACCTCCCGGTCTTGCCAGTACACTTAATCTTGTACCCGCTGCCTGCGATTAAGTTGATTTCAGCTTGTGTCAAGTTTAAGGCAAACCGCTTTGGTAAGAAGACTATATGCGGCGTCCCATTAAATACAATGTTGAGTATAACATTTGCACCGTATTTTCAGTGTGCTTTAGCCTTGCTCACACCCAGCTGGGTTGACCAAATAAATCAGTTATAGCCGTCCTCTGTGGACCCCTGCTGACTTTCAAGTCGTTGAGCTTCGATTTGAAGTCGGACATTGTACAGTAAAAAATGTCGATGTATTTAGACTTGGTAAATATGTTTATATATCTTGGGAGAACGGATAAAACAATACTACGCGATGATCCTATACAATCCTTAGCAGTCGGACAACATTGGCTAAAAAAATGTATAATATGTACGTACAGTATTTAACAGCAGTAAAAGCAAATTCTCCACTAAAACTCCCTACGTGAACAGTCGACTATTGGATACAGAAAGTTCTATCACTAGACAAAGGTTAAACTGAGAAATTATAGGAATCAAAACCCACTACGAATCAGAGATATATTACAACACTATTGTATACCATACACAAGAATAGACAACTATTGGGGTTCACGTTAAAAAGAAATACCCCCGCCGCAGCAAACCTGCCGTCTAAGCGAATTTCCATTTGGCTGTATTGATTTTTAATTGATCTATTTAAATAACATTAGGTTTAACGAGTACCTAGGTTTGCTGCTACAAGGAAACTAATAAAGTGTGCGTTTTAAGTAAAATAATTATTGCTTAGTATAAAATGAATATATTTGCCAAGTTTGATCAAAAGATATCCATAAACAAGCAAACTACAACATTTTACAATATTCTCCATAAGAATAACATGGGAATTTTAAACTTACCATTTTTTTTAGTTTTCTCCGTAACCAATAACCGTACAAAAACACTTTGATATACTGAATTGTTTGTTTTTTTAAGCTCTTTAAGAAGGTTTAGAGAAAAATTAGGAAATTTTGTGTTTTGAGGGTCAAAAGTGAGAAAAACCAATTTTTACCCCATAAACCCCCCCATATAACCCTGTTCCCATGGTCCGATCATGCTGGATCGCGAACTCATTCAAGTTTATCCCGCATTACACCTTCAAACCAAATTTCATCAAAATCGGATACAAATTACTCAAGTTATCGTGTTCACGGACACATATATATATATATATATATATATATATATATATACATATATAAAAATTTGAACGAATGGTGTTTTTGGCCTCTGGGGACATCAAAATGAAAAAGTAAATCGGTCCCGGGCCTAAGTCTTACCATGAGACCTACGGTAATAGCTACTTCCCTATAGGGAAATTCGCTAAAAAAGACCCAAGATAAAGTGAAACAACAGTCAACAACAGTCAAGTTCATAAAAACAACAATAACACAAACACACTAAACAAACAACTACTAGGCTTTACCTAAAAAAGTGTAAAAATAACATTGGTAACGTCTACATAGTCAACTGTGGTCTGACAGTCAGAGGAAGTTGTCTGAGAAAGTTGTGCCAACATAATGTAAAGCACAACTTTGTTGTTCATTCACAATACAAGGTACATTGTTGTTGGCTACATTTGTTGTTGCTCCAGATGGATTGATGGCATCGGCGATGCGCTGCAATACGACCCGGCACCGGCGGTTCGAGGTGTTGAGCAGAAAGAGAAAGCCGACTGCAATTGTTAGCGGCACACCAACAACACGGTCAAGAAGTACTTCACCGCCGCCGCCGCTGCCAATGCCGCCGCAGGCCAACGTCACCTACAATGTCCACGACGCCGCAGCCCATGACGTCAAGCACAGATAAGGGAACCGTCAAGGCAGCCCACACAGGTTAGTTTCTACATTTTGAGTTACATTCAGTAATTAGGTTCCATAAGCCTTACATTATTTTAGGATATTTTAACAAGCAGATGAATACGACTTCAAACGCTATTAAATAATCAGTTGGTATACTCTTTTGATGTTAAATACAGGGTGATTATAAATTAATGTTACACTTTTTAACTCCATAAATGCAAACTATACAACCGGGATGAGAAACAATTGAAAGAGAAAATTTTAAAGTTTCGGTTGGCACCACTTTGGTAAACATATATGCAAAATTACCCTCTAAAGACACTTTTTTAAATCAATGAAACACTACAAAACACTTTTTGCTCTTTTGAAATCATGTTCCTCTCAGCTTACAATCATGGTGAACAACAATAACTGAGCGGTAAATAGAACTAATTGACTCCTAGTGGTATTTCTTAAAAATTTTGATACTTCAACGTAGAGTATGAAGTTTTGAGATTCAGAGAGGTAAAAATGTGTAATTAATATAACATCGTAGTTATAATCTAAAAATGTCTGTAGAGGCTAATTTTGCAACTATGTTCCACCAAAGTGGTGTCAAACAAACCTTAAGAATCTCCTCTTTCAGTCGATTCTCACCCTGATATGATATTTTGTATGGATTTTCATTTATATATCTTCAAAATAACAATAGAATCACCCTTAGAATCATATAATGCTATACTGTCCTAAGTTAGAAGTCACCAAACTCATAGAAAAGGGAGCTTTCTCACATAACCCGTGTTATGGTAATGGTGATGTATGCATGCATCATGCAGAGGACAAAGGAAATTTTTAAGTACAAAGTTTGCAGGTAGAAGGAATTCAAACGAGTTCCTACCTTCCCTCATGTAACATTCATTGGTTGGACCTCACTGTTGATTCTGTATCAGGGTCTGAGTTTATATGGAAAAGAACATTAGCCTACATTGCCACTTGAGGCAAATGCGTAGTCAAAGATTTAAATGGAGTTAGGATGTATACACTACTACACATTCAGCCATTTTGTTAGGTTTATAAATTATAGCGTGAAAATATAAATATTTGGGACGTTTAATAATTTAAAATTATTTCTACAATTTAATTTAAGAAAATATTTTCAATTGTAGATTCAATAAATTGAATGTTTTAAAAATAGTACCATACGTATAGTATACTCCATAAACTTTATTTCATAATCATGATGAAAGAAGACACAATTAACTGGGGTTCTAAAAACGCAATAATATTGAGCATCACAAATTTTAATTATGCTTTTTGAAATCATTTATCATTTAAAAACTAACATCCAACATTTTATAACTTGTTTCATTAGGAAAACAAAGTGGAGACACGTTTAGTATTTATAAGTCACAATATTAGTTGTTAATAAACTAAAAAAAATTAAAGAACTTAGTTTACTGCCTCAAATCCGAATTATGTTATGATAGTTTGTAGAAGTATCTGAGAAGAAAGGCAGTTTTGACTTTTATTAGATGCAGATCATGTTTTATATATCTCCTTTTCAAACCTATGAGATTCTAATAATTATTTTTTAAATCACATCTCTTGACAAATTGAATTCATTTCTAAGTTTGGCAAACTCGTAATGGCATATTTGACTTATAATACAGTAGTAGTAACGATTTTGATTTAATTTTTCCAGTAAGGGTTTCGAAATTACCAGGTTTCCTTTCAAGATACAATATTACGCAATGCCAGATATTCTTTTCATTAGAACCCTGTAAGTAAAGTGATCAATAGTATATTTGTTCAGGAATGTTTAGAGTCAAGTCAATTACTAGATTCACGGTATTGTATGTCCCAAGACATACGATTGTTAATTATTTTGTTATTGCTTGGGCCACTTAGCATAATGTTTATTATTTTTATTTTCGAGAGGAAATACAATGTGTTACATTGTGCTCAAACGGTCTTTGAAACTCATCAGCGATTGGAGGGTCTCCTTTATTAAACCGTTGATCAAAAAGATAACTTAAATTGGGTTTTCCTCAGAAGAATTGTGCTCTGAACAAAGAAAACTCATTTAAGTTGCTTCTGTTGAGGGGAATTGACATATCTGGACTTTGTTGGTAGATTAAGTTACGTTAAAGGTCAGTTTCGTGTTAGAATATTTTTTCGTTTTGTAAGCATATAATAAGAAAAATTATTTCATAAACGTATTAATGACCTTAATGAATATGTCTTCTTAGTGTATTTACAGTTTTATCAATTAACATTAAGGTTTCGTGTGTAGATGATTTTCTTTCAAGTTTTTCTGTACCGTAAATTGATTGTCTTGACTACGTTCATGTCTAGCATACTATCAATGCCAAATAAAGGTAGTTGTGGTTACCTTGTTTATGGATATTTATTGATTAAATTTGGAAAATTTATTTATTTAATCCTATGTAATATTTGACGAAAAACCACCTTTTCCTTTCTCCGTAGGAGAAAACCCAAGTACTCGTTGAATAATGTATTTTTAATGGGTAATAAATATGTCTTGATTATGGTAATATTTTAGTAAAAATCCACTCAGATGAATTGAAATTCGCTTAGTCCGCAGGTTTGATGCGGTGGAGGCATTCCTTTGTTTTGTAGATCGTAGTTTTTTGTAGTGTTTTGTAGATCGTAGTGGATCGTAGTCGTTAATAAGTATAAGTCATAAGTCATAAGTCATTTATTCACCCAGATTTACATAGTTTACATGCATTGGTTATGTCAATTATAGTAAGTTAATACATAAAATATATACAAAATTCCTTATACTACATGCCATAGCTATTTACATTTGGTTTACATTTTCTTTGTATATGCAATGATTCTTTGTTCACATATACGTTGTTATCTCGTAACCATCATAGCGACCCATAAGGCTACCGTTTAAAATGGAAAAGTGCTTTTTAGCGAATTTCCCTATAGGGAAGTAGCTATTACCGTAGGTCTCATGGTAAGACTTAGGCCCGGGACCGATTTACTTTTTCATTTTAATGTCCCCAGAGGCCAAAAACACCATTCGTTCAAATTTTTATATATGTATATATATATATATATATATATATATATATGTGTCCGTGAACACGATAACTTGAGTAATTTGTATCCGTTTTTGATGAAATTTGGTTTGAAGGTATAAGGCGGGATAAACTTGAATGAGTTCGCGATCCAGCATGATCGGACCATGGGAACAGGGTTTTATGGGGGGTTTTATGGGGTAAAAATTGGTTTTTCTCACTTCTTACCCTCAAAACACAAAATTTCCCAATTTTTCTCTAAACCTTCTTAAAGAGCTTAAAAAAACAAACAATTCAGTATATAAAAGGGTTTTTGTACGGTTATTGGTTACGGAGAAAACTAAAAAAATGGTAAATTTAAAATTCCCATGTTATTCTTATGGATAATATTGTAAAATGTTGTAGTTTGCTTGTTTATGGATATATTTTGATCAAACTTGGCAAATTTATTTATTTTATAGTAAGCTACCAATATTTTACTAAAAACACACTACTTTCTTAGTTTCCTTGTAGCAGCAAACCTAGGTACTCGTTAAACCTAATAATGTTATTTAATTAGATCAATTGAAAATCAATTCGGCCAAATGGAAATTCGCTTAGACGGCAGGTTTGCTGCGGCGGGGGTATTTTAGTTTTATATTGTACAGGCATTAAATAACATGTTTACTGTTTGTCGAAACAACCCTGATAAGTTTGCTTTAATATGTTATATTGAGTGATTCAATTTCAACGTTTTTTTAAGGTTCGATTTCAAAGAGGTTCTGCCCCGGACTACTTTCCCAAGTGGACCTCCAATGCCTTCTAGAACCCGTCCACAAGATCTGTTCGTCAGGCGGCACTTCAGGTGGCCCCGATACGATTACCGGTCATGAGCCTCTTGCAACATTCCCCCACCTTGGAGGTACACTGTGGGCCAGTATCGATATGTACGACGATACCACAGAGTCTTTCCAGAGGAAGGCTACGGCCCGTCTGAGTTCCTTACATCAACCACATAAACTAGTTATTGTTTTTGTGTATAATAGATGGAGTGACACATTTAAATATATAATATATTTATTATTCAAAGTGTATGTCAACTGATAGTCGTCTCTTTCTTGCTCTCTTTAACTCAAAATGTATATTGTTTCATTTATTATGTATTGTATAGCTGCCCAAATGCCTATGTGAGTACATTATGTGATTGTAATTGCTTGTATCAATTATGTAATGGACTTGGCCGTTGGAGTTAAAATAAAATAAGAGTTTTCTTATTGAAACTAGTCATCATCAGCTACCTAAATGTCAACCGTTCCGCAGTGGATAGGTGTTAATGAGAATAGTTAATTAGCTACATATTCTGATTACCTTGGACTAAATAACCAAATCTAAGGTTAGCATGTTAATGTGAAATTGGTAATCAGTGATTTATGAGTTGTACATATTGCAGTAATACCCTCTGTAATGGGATTTTCTACTACCTTGAAACACCTTAAAATTTCAAAAAGATATTATATTGATTAAAGGCTATTTTTGTTGATTATTTCGGTATATTTGATTTGTTATAAATAGTTTTATTATGTTTGGAAATAGGATTGTAATTTCATCAACCTTACTATCCTACGTAACTATTTTAAAGTGATAAAACTATATATTTACGATTTTCTAAACTGTTAATGAGATAATTTGTTGGGCTTTTAAATAAAGGGTGATGCAATAAAAGAGCTTCAAATATATAAATACAAAAATTCCATACTATATACCTTATACAAATAAATAAAACATAAAAAAGTTAACTTATGCTATTTTAACTTGACGGGGTCATTTTTCTTTTCTTGCAAACTACTTTCTTCAAATGACACCTTGTCATACTAAAAATTTCCTTTTAGTCTCTTGAATACTCCACGAATAATCGTTCCAGCTTATCTTCAGGGATAGCTTTAATTTCCTGGAAAATTCTTAGCTTCAGTTTAAATCTATGGATGACTTTAAAAAAACCTTAAACTTTAAGTAAGTTTTTATTACAGTAAAACAATAGAGAATAATTACACATCATACATTAAATATTTTAACACTGATACACTTTAAAGGTATTTGCTTTGCTTCTACGCTAGATTTCAACAAAATACAACGAAAGAATGGTTAAAGAACATCCTTCAGGCTATATTAAACGGGCCTATGTACTAAATAGATGTAGCTGTCCACATAGGATTATAATGACATGTTGTTCAACTGCGATTTTCTCGTGTGTACCACAAAGTGCTTTGGTTGCGTTAACTCTGTCTGCGTTACTCTTTGGATTTTACTGCGACATGCACTCTTGTGATGTTTTCTGGTGCATGAAGTGTTTTGTAGCTTCCACATGTTTTTATAGGGTTTAAGCTATTATCATACATAATTTCACCAGTTCCTTATCGTTTCGTGATCTGGAACAGTGTCAAGTTGATCAAGGATGGAATTAGGTCCCAACAATTCCTGGGGATTGCACTGAAATCACTATTTTCAAAATAAGTTTCCACATAAAAATCACAGTGTTAACAAACCCCAAAGCACAACGTTTACTAAAGTGGTAAAGTTTAATTGTTTCTATTAGCAAAGCTATTCATTCATTGTTGCATTACTTATCATATGACAGCGAAAAAAAAAATGTTATGCTCTCATTGTCCCACCTGTAATAAATAATTTGTTTATATTACTAACCCTTCCAATTTTTTTGTCCCTACAAACCTTTTCTAATGTCGTAATTTAAGTCTATGTTGACTGTGTAGACCAATGCGGTTACATGAAGCCTACGATCAGTGTTTGGTGAATGTTTGCATATATAGTTTACATAGTGTCACTTTACAATAAACTAACTTAATTTTAGCCGAAAGTTAGGGAGCGAATAGTTAATACAATTGTTTATTAAGAACAAAATTTATAAACCAGTAATTGCTTTATAAAGTTCCCTTTTCATAGCCTACAATAATTAAAATTCCCCGTAAAGAGAAAAGTAAATGGTTAAATAATTAACTGGGATTTCCTAAGCGAAGGTAATTTTCTTTGTTCATTAACTTCGCAATTTCTACGTAACTGAAACAATTTCTTAAGGAAGCAGTTTAATAAACTGCAATTATAACTCGGAGGGTTCCATTTTACTTTGGAGTGACTTTAAAAACAGTTATTCAGATTTCCTCAAAAGATGTATTTACAACTCGTGTATTAAAATCCTTCCCGTAAACTTAAAACAAATTCTACATTTCCACAATCAGGAAACAGGCCCAAATAATTACCTCAATTTGTCTCGTTGTATTAGTAGAAATGTAAAACATACTGTATTAGAGAAAGGATGCTGGTGGTATTTATTTAGATCACTAACCTTAAATATATTGAATAAGTAATCAAAATGATAAATAGCTGTACTATCGTATACATGTTCCAGTTACAACATGAATATCGTATTTAATTAAAATGTAGAACATAACTTGATCTATTAACAGGCCCAAGTAAATAAGACCGGGTTCTAAAATTATTTAGTAGCAAGTGCGAATAGAACTTAGTTCTCCAGATGTCAATAATTGAATCAATTGATTTTGGCCCAACTTGCTTACTAATCTTTCGGAGAGGTCCTTCAAGCTCTTAGAAAGGACTCGAGCCAACTCTAAGATGAAAATAGGGTCTCTTCCAATTTACTTCGCTTAGTGCTTGGCATTTTGGGAATTTTAATGAATTTTTCTGTTTCATACTGATTGTGTGTAATCGAAAAAATATTTTAAATTGTTGTAGACATAAGATTAATGAAAACTTGATAAAAATTGTCTTAATTAAATAATGGAATAACAAAATAGTTCAATCTAGTAAGTAATGTAAATTTCACAACAGTGGAATGATAATTTTCACTAATTTGTCATAATGGATTCATCCTGAATACAAGTGTTCCGATTCTGGAGTCAATAAAAGGTTGGCTGCACCAACCTAAATATGGTTATTAATGGAAAATGGTAGTTACCGTACTATACTTATACTAGGGTTGCTTTCAGAGAGGTGAAAGCCAGTTGAGCGGAACAAACGTATATTTGTATAAGTAACTAAATGTAAAAAGGTCAATAGATTTATTTACTAATGCTGGTTTTAAAGATTAAAATTATAATAATTCAAATTTACCTCTTCGAGAAGTGCATTATGGTAGTTTTGACCAGGAAAATATTACAGTAGTTGGAATCTGATATTAACATCCAAAAAAGGCATTAAAGTATAAAAAAGAGAAAGGAAATTTAACATTCAAATTCAACTGTAGCCTACAACAAAAACATTGGACTTCATTTTTCACCCTTACAATTGGTTAAAGTATTTAAGTATAAAAAAACAGTACCTATTAAAAAACGAGTATTGTATAACAACAGGAGAGGAAATGTGACATTTAAATTCAACTGTGCAGCATAAACATAGTTTAAACTCAGCTTTCTTTGCTGGAAATAATTTATGATTGTTAATACCAAGTATTCTTGATGGAGGATATGATTGTAATGTAACTGGAATGTAGGTCTTCTGCCATTATTAGGACGATTTAGCGGCATTTTAATACTGGCCTTAATAATACCATTGACCATTGAATACAGTAGATTTTGATGAAAATGCTGGCTACAAATTCAACATGGGGATGGAATGTCTAGTTGTATTGATATTTGATAGTCAAAGATAAAACATAGGCCTACTAAAAATGTAGGGCTATTTTAATGTAAGACTCAAATGTAAAACGCCTTTAAAAGACTAAAATAAACTGAATTATCAGTCATGTATTTCAATGTTAAAAAACGTAAAAACTGCAAAAAGTCTTACTTATTGAACAATAAAATAAGATGGCTGAAATGTAGGCATAAACATAAGTAATAAATAAACATCGCATTCAGCTGATTTAAGTGAAAACAGAATAATAATAAGAAGGGAAGACATGCCTTAAATATACAATGTAGATAATATGATTAGAAATTAGTAGCCTACTTCTGGACAGGCCTAGACAATTATCCATACCGTGGTTAAAAGTGTACTTCTATAAGCCCAGGTTTACTTATCAACGGTTGTAACTGGACGTATGTATAGTTGGTATAGTCCGTGGCTTGGTAATCAAATAACAGTATTTATATAGGATAGGCTACTGTTATCAACATTTGAAATGACTGAATTGTTACCAAATTACTGTTTCACAAAATGCAGATTCCATTTTCAGCCGAGCCATTAAAATGAGGATTTGCCGAACAATTATTAATATTACAGAATAGTATATAATGATATACAACTTTTCACATTCCATAATTATATGTTAGTTTTGCTATGGTCAAAGGTACAAATCCAAATGTTCTCTTTTCTTTTGGTCAGTATGTAATAATTTGCTAGAATCATTGACTTTATACAAAGTCAAAGCTAGAGTACTGTAGATGGTTTGTTAAGTTAAGATCATATGCAAGCATTTTTGAAATCGTTTCCCCGTTTAACCTTAACCAACTATTCCATTCCAAAAGATAAAAATTACATGGTGCAACACAAATAAACAACCCGATCGCCTACCTATAACCTACACTATACCTTCCTAATCTAACCTTACTTCAAAACACTTAATGTAGTCACGAATACTCATAAACCCCGACCTACCTCCCCACATGCCTAAACCAGTGTTCAATCTGCGTTTTATCAATAAGTGTAATAACTTACTGTACCATCGATGTAATTCAACATAATATAACCTATGAGGTATTATCGGATTAAATACCGATTTCGATGCGGTTCGATATATCGCTTATTAAATCCTGATTTCTAACATTGGCTGTTTCTAATCAGCTGGCAACACAAATAGGTTCCCAAGAAAGTAGTCACCGGTCCGTATCCCTCCGCTCCTTGTTTATGCTCCGCGCATTGAGAAAGTAGTTCCGTATATTTTCTCGATTTTCAGTGAATTCCGTGCCTTAAAAAAATGTTTTAACGGCATTTTCTTGTTTATTAAAATCATAGGAATGGTTTAAAATCGTTTAAAAGAAAAGTA